TGGCTCAAGTGGTAGAGTGCTAGCCTTGAGCTGAAGAGCTGAGGGACAGCGCCCAGGCCCAGAGTTCAGGCCCCACGACCAGACAAAAAAAAGAAAAAGAAAGAAAAAGAAAAAAGAAATAAACTACTGTCATTTAGAGAGCATCTTTTTTTATAAAAGCAGTCTGGGAGCATACACCGGCTCTATTTAAAGCACTGCGTTGGAGCTGGAGATGTAGCTTAGTGTTAAAACTGGTAGGATACTTGCCTAGCATGTGGGTTTGATCTCCAGGAAGAGGAAACATAAAACAAAACACAGTCTTCCCTCTCAAGATGGCCAGCTACAGCTCCATTGATCATAGAAGCAGGTAGAACCAGCAGCTGAAGATAGGAATTCTAAATGGATTTACCCTCCCCTTCACCCCCTCCCCCTCGTGCGCCGCCCCCCCACACACACACACCAGCATTTAGAGCATTTAGTCTAGGTCTCATCATCCTCCAGCTTCCAGCTCAGTTTGGATAAAGGCAGAGTCTGTTACACATTTCAAAGGGGACTTCACCAGAAGGCCCAGGCCAGCATCCCTCTATCCATTTGTGATCTGGTGAGCCAGAGCCACAGATGTCTTAGGGAAAAGGAAGCTGGCCTTTGGAGGCAGAAGACAGCAGGAAGAACTCGCTGCATTTCATTTTTCTTATTTCATTTCGTCTGATCGTACTAAGCATTTCCGAGTCATTCCCTCGGTGCTGAACTTAGATCTTAGACACCCATTCTGAAGTAAAAGTTATCTTATTTGCTACTCTGACCTTTTTAATACAGAGTATTAGGCCTGATAATACCCTCTCTTCCTCAGACTTTTATGCATCTCATACTGTGGTGTTTTATAAACATTGTTATTGATCATAAATCCATATTAGAGAAACTGAGGCTTTAGAGAGATAAACTCACCCAAGATGTACTCCAGCAAACAGAAAATTTACTATCTGACCAAACGTTCATACCTATAATCCCAGCACTTCAAAGGAAGGAGCAGACAGCTTTCCAGTATGAGGCCAGCCTAGACTCCATGAGACCCTGACTGAAAAAAAAAAAGTCAGGCACCAGTGGCTCACACCTGTAATCCTAGCTACTTAGGAACCTGAGATCTTAGGATTGACGTTCAAAGCCAGCCCCAGGCAGGAAAGTCCAGGAGACTCTTATCTCCAACTAAGCACCAAAGTTAGAGCACTAGCAAAGACAGCTCCCCAGACCCTGAGTTCAAGCCCTAGGAACAGGGCGCGCGCGCACGCACACGCACGCACACACACGCACACACACACACACACACACACACATTATATGGCTTTTTTTTTTTTAGGGATTTCACCTCAATGAAGAAATGAGTAACAACTTTCACTATTTCGCTCTAGTCTTCTGTACATGAGAGGAATTCTGTACAAAGGAATTTAAAAGGCAGAGTTAATTAGACCCCAGAGGGAAGGCAGGCATATACCTGGGGTGTATTTACACCAGTGTTTTTATCCTGCCTTCTGATAAAAGATTATGATTACTTTTCAATTTCACCTAATACCACGAGGAGAGCTGCATCTCCGGAGTGTAGTTCTCCCAGAGGTTTGAGTGATATTCTAAAGCTACTCAGGCTAAGGGCCATTTAGTCTCGTCCCAAGTGGCTAAATCTCTTCTTCTCTCCACAGGGAAACAACTGGAAGGCATCTGGTAAGTGGGGCTGAGACTCCTTTCATTCACTGCTTTATGAAATACGGCAGCACCACACAAGTTAGGTGCAGTCTGCGGATCCCGGGTCAAAGGCTTGCTGTCTTTGTTGTTGATCTCTAAGAACTAACGCGGCCTCACCGCTCTTGTTTTTGTCCCTCCACCCCATCTTGGGACTGGCAGGCCCACAGACATGTCTCACCACCAGTGGGCAGAATGGGAGGATGCAGCTGGCAGCTGGAGATGCTGTTCAATATCCCATAATGCACAGGACAGCCTCCTGCACAAGTAATTATCTACAAAGAACGTCACTAGGGGCTGGGAAGGTAGCTTAGTGGTAGAGTGCTTGCCTAACATGCATGAAGCCCTGGGTTCAATTCCTCCATACCCCATCCACAGAAAAAGCTGGAAGTGGCACTGTGGCTCAAGTGGTAGAGTGCTAACCTTGAACACAAGAGAGGCTCAAGGACAAAGCCCAAGCCTTGAGTTCAAGCCTCATGACCAGCAAAAAAAAAAAAAAAGACATCACTAGTGCCAAGATGTAGGCACCCTGATCTTCACTACTGCCAGCGCTCCACATCCATGAGTGTAGTCCTGCAAGGTGAAAATATTCAGAAGCCAGGTAGCTACTCAAGAGGCTGAGATCTGAGGATCAAGATTTGAAGCCAGCCCAAGCAGAAAGTCCATGAGACTCTTATCTCCAATTAACCACCAAGAAGCTGAAAGTGGAGCTGTGGTTCAGGTAGTAGAATGCCAGCCTTGAGCAAAAAAAGCTAAGAGACAGCTCCTAAGCCTTGAGTTCAAGCCCTGGGACTGGCGCGCACACAAACACACACACACACACAAACACACACACAATATTATTTGGAACTGGAAATGTGGCTTAGAGGTAGAGTGCTTGCCTAGCATGCATGAAGCCCTGGATTCCATTCTTCAGTACCACATAAACAGAAAAAGCTAGATATGGTGCTGTGGTTCAAATAGTAGAGCATTAGTCTTGAACACAAAGAGGCTCAGGGATAGAGCCCAGACCCTGAATTCAGGTCCCAGACTGGCAAAAAAAAAAAAATGTGGAAAAACATTAGTTGTATTGAGCAGACTCTCAACTACTGTTCATTCAACAATAGAGTGTAACAGTTGTTTATACAACATTTACATCTATTTTGGGTATTGAAATGATTTGAAATGTATTTGAAGCCGGGAGCTGGTGGCTCACACCTGTAATCCTAGCTATTCAGGACAGCCTCAGCTCTCAGTCTGAGGATTGAGGTGAAAAGCCAGTCGAAGCAGGAAAGTCCCTGAGACTCTTATCTCCAATTACCCACCAGAAAACCGGAAGTGGTGCTGTGACTCAAGTGGTAGAGTACTTGCCATGAGCTGAAGAGCTCAGGACAGCGCCCAGGTCCAGAGTTCAAGCCCCACAACCAACAACAACAACAACAAAAAATGTATTTGAAGATTGCGTACATTCAATGCAAATACTACACCATTTTATAACAGACTTGATCATCTGCAGATTTGACTATCTTTGGGGGTATCTAGAAAGTCCTTCCCCCCACCCCCACACAGAGGAATGGCCACATGGCCTTATGTGGCTATTTGTCCAAGGCTGGTCGCCAGAGTTACATCTTTGAGTTGTGATGTTTGATTTTCACGGACAGGTATTAATTTCTGGCTCACTGTGTCTCTCTATGTGGCAGGCACACCTCCATAGTTGTGCACAAGGATGAGTTCTTCTTTGGCAGTGGTGGTATCTCCAGCTGTCCCCCGGTGAGTGTCTTCCCCTACACCCTGACCTCCAGACTCAGCTTCCTGGGGGCTCCCTAGACCAAGAATTTTGCTTCTGGGTGCCTCTGGCTTCTGGCCCAGTATATAGAGGACTGTAACATAGTTCCTCCTAAAAACTGAGGTTGGAGTGTGGCTCACTTGGCAGAGCACCAACAAGTGAAAGTGTCAGGTACTGAGTTTGAGTCCCAGTCTTGAACAACAAAAAAAAAGATTCATTTAAGAGCTACAGGTAGCCGGGTGCCGGTAACTCACACCTGTAATCCTAGCTACACAGGAGATCTGAGGATCGCGGTTCAGAGCTAGCCCAGGCAGGAAAGGCCGTGAGACTCATCTCCAATTAACCCTCAGAAAACCAGAAATGGCACTGTGGCTCAAGTGGAAGAGCACTAGCCTTGAGCTAAAGAGCTGAGTGAGGGACAGTGCTCAGGCCCAGAGTTCAAGCCCCACAACTGACAAAAAAAAAAGAGCTACAGGTGTGATAGAGTGCTAGCATGTTTAATGTCTTAGATTCTATTCGCAGTATCCCCTCATCCTCAAAAAAAAAAAAAGTAAAAGAAAAATTCAAGAATACCTCTCTAGCTGGACACCAATGACTTACGCCTATAATCATAACTACTCAAAAGCTGAGATCACAGCCTAGGTAGAACAATTCACTAAACTCCATGTGGATGTGGCTCAAGTGGTAGAACATCTGTGGAGTGAATGCAATGCCCTGAGTTCAAGCTGCAATGCCACCAAAAATAAAATACAATACACCCTTCCCAGACACCCCAGTCAGTGCCACTGCTCCAGAGCCCCTGTGGGTCTCTCTGCGTCCACACCAAGCAGGTCATAGTGATATGACCACAGGAATGGAGCCTAAGCTTCTTGCAAGCTATGAGTGAGTTGCTTAAAAGCATATAGCCTGTGACCGGATCAGTCCTAAGACTCATCTCTGTGACTCTAAAGCCATGTCCTCTTGCAGAACATTTCTGTCAGAGCTACCTAAAGGTTGTAATGGGAGGTGCACAAGTGAAAACCAAGCAGCAGTTCATTTGCAGAGCTATATGTGGGAAGCCATTTTGTATTTCTTCCTCTCCCATTGGGAGACAAATCCTTCATTAAGCCTAGTTAGTTCTACCTTGTGAATGTGTCATCAGTCTGCCTCTCTCATCTCTTCCTATTCCTCCAGACCTCTCACCTTAGTTCATACCACCTCATGTCTAACCTGCACCTGGGTCGTGGCCACCTGGTCTCCTTGTCCTTTATACAGGAGGCAAAATGATCTTTTCAAAGCATTTCCCTAAAGCCAGGCGCTGGTGGCTCACGCCTGTAATCCTAGCTACTCAGGAGGCTGAAATCTGAGCATCACGGTTCAAAGCCAGTCCAGGCAGGAAAGTCCGTGAGACTCTTATCTCCAATAAAGCACTAGAAAACTGGAAGTGGCACTATTGCTCAAGTGGTAGAGCCCTCACTTTGAGATGAAGAGCTGAGGGATAGTCCCAAGCCCTGAGTTCAAGCCCCACGACCGAAAAAAAAAAAAATTCCCTACTGCTTTTGGAATAAAACCCAGAAGGAAGCCAAGTGTGGATGGCTCATCCATCAGATCCTAGCTACTCAGAAGGCTGACATTAGAAGATTGCAATTTTCAGGCAGCCTGTGTAGACAAATCCGAGAAACTCATCTAGTAAAGAGCTAAAAGTGGAGTTGTGGCTCAAGTGGTAAAGCACCAGCCTTGAGTGGAAAAAGCTAAGGGAAGTTCAGGCTCCAATACCAGAACAAAACAGAACAAACCCAGAATTCTTAGCATGACTTCTAGCACCCCCGCTGAGCCGACCTCTGTCATCTTTTCAACCCTACCCCAACTCTACCCCGTCCTCTCCTCATTCCTTGAGCACACCTTGGACAGTGAATCCTGTACTCTGACCTCAGTACACCTCCTTTATCCTTCACAAATAGCATTGTTTTTAACTTCTCCAGCATGACTTTTCTTTCTTGTTTGTTTGATTGGTTGGTTGGTTTGTTCCAGTATTGGTACTTGAACTCAGGAGCCTGGGCACTGTCCCTTAGCTTTTTTCACTCAAGGCTAGTCCTCTACCACTTGAGCTACACCCCCATTTCTGGATTTTTGGTGAGTAATTGGAGATGCATCTTAAGGACTTTCCTGTCTGGCTGGCTTTGAACCATGAGCCTCAGCATCCTAGGATTATAGGTGTGAGCCACTGGTACCCAGCAGCAGCATAACCTTTATTGCACTCTGGTTGAGGGGATTTTTTTTTTGTCTGCCTTCCCTGCTAGATTTTAAGTTCCATGAGGGCAAGAATCTCATCTGTTTTGTGCACATCGTACCCCCAGTGCCTACCATAAGGCACGGCACATAGTAAGTTCTCAATAAATACTTGTCATATGAGTGAATAATGAGGGTCCAACAGTGACCTTTTTAATCTCCTACAATTCTAGGACAATTGTCTCCTGTGTACTGTACTAACCTATCTTTCTCATCATGCTTTCCCCAAACTCTAGAATAATGTCAGCCACATAGGTGCTCCATGATGAGGCATGAAAGACCTCTTCGGCCAGCTCTGCTCTGGGCTATTTGCCCTTTCTACATCTGCCATCCTCCATGTTCCCATTGCTTCTCCTTAGGGGTGTCCACATGGTGTCTCCTTTAGTCTCCTGTGGTATCTATCAGCTCACGGCCATGGGTTTTCTGTAATAAGCATCTTCGGCCAGCGGCTCTCCTGCCCTATCACCTTCAGCAGACTAGCCTCCCAGATCAAAAAATGCACTGCATTAAGCCAGTGGCTCACGCCTGTCATCCCAGCTACTCAGGAGGCTGAGATCTGAGGATCGCGGTTCCAGGCCAGCCCAGGCAAGAAAGTCCATGAGACTCCAGTTAACTACCAAAAAATCAGAAGTGAAGGTGTGTCTCATGTGGTGGAGTGCTCACCTTGAGCACAGAAGCTCAGGGACAGTACTCAGGCCCTGAGTTCAAGCCCTAGGACGGGCACAAAAAGGGGGGGGGGGATGCACTTAATTCTAGAAATATTTGCTGTGTCTGCCAGATTTCTCATGGTCCTTCACACTTTTCTATTACCAGTGACTCCCAGGATATCACAATCACAACTGGCTACGAACTTCCTGAACATAGGTCATCTCTAATCCTTTCTAGTCCTAATATTCAAGCATATTGGGGGCAAAAGGAGACCACAGAGTCCGGGTTTCTATCTTTGTATCAGCTGGAGAAGTGAGGAAGTGAGGAGGCAGCATAAGGAGTTGGGCCTGCAAGAGAATCAGCCAACAGCTCAGCGGAGACAGTGACTGAAAGACTTCCTTGGATTGCCTTTTTTTTTAGGGAGGAACACTGCTTGGACCCCCAGACTCTGTGGTTGATGTGGGGAGCACAGAAGTCACAGAAGAAATTTTTCTAGAGTACCTATCTTCCCTGGGAGAGTCTCTGTTCCGGTGAGTGGGGACAGAGCTGGTGTCTGGTTGTGTCTGTCTCTCTGGCTAGCTATTCACCCCTGGAGGGCAGCGCGGGTTCCATCCCTGGAGCACTCAGCTTGCCTAGTCTTTGCTGACTGGACACAGAGAGAAGGCACCACGCTACAAAGAGCCCAGAGTTGTTCCAAGCAGATATTCTATCCCAGCATGCTTTCTGCTGACACTTTGAGAGCAGAGAAGAGCTATTCATTCCCTCCGATTAAAATCAGCAAATACAGTTTTAAGCCTCTACTGACTCAGTGCTTTCTCATGAACTTCAAAGGCAGGATTGGATAAAGCGCAAACTTAGGCAGATTTCTCTTAAGAAGCTTCAGTCAGCCAGGCACTTGGTGGCTCACGCCTGTAATCCTAGCTACTCAGGAGGCTGAGATGTGAGGATCACAGTTTAAAGCCAGCCTGGGCAGGAAAGTTCATGAAACACTTATTTCCAATGAACTACCCAAAAAAAGCTAGACATTGAGCTGTGGTTTCAGTGGTAGAGCACTAGCTTTGAGTGAAAAAGCTCAGGGACAGTGCCCAAGCCCGAAGTCCAAGCCCCAGGCCTGGTACCAAAAAAAAAAAAAAAAAAAGCTTCAGTGGATTTCACTCTAACCCGGTAGCTCTGCTTTAAGAATTTCTAGAGCCATCTATTTTCATTTCGGTTCACCCTTAGTAAGTCGGTTCTTAGAGCTTGAGGAACAACACACCAAGTATTCATTCGGTGTGTTTGAGAGGGTGGGTTTGCCCTCTCACTCCTACCTGGTATGAGTTTTGCCACGTAAGATCTAGTTTCTAAACCTTTCGTTGCATGTACAGAGGTGAAGCCTACAATCTATTTGAACACAACTGTAACACCTTCAGCAATGAAGTGGCTCAGTTCCTGACTGGGCGGAAGATCCCATCTTATATCACTGACCTGCCCTCCGAAGTTCTCTCCACGTAAGTTCCCCTCCATCTCTGCCTCAACATCAGTCATCCTAGAAAAATTCCATTCATCCTCTGCGTCTCTTCCCTGGCCCTGGTCTCTTCCCATCCCTGATGGTGGCAGAACACAGGAGGACCTGTCCTGGTGGCGGGTCTCCACCCACTGGCATGTACCCATATGACCACCACCCTTCTCGTAGCCGGACCAACTTTACCCTGGCCCAAGTACTGCCACAAAACTGAGAAACACACTTGACACTTTGCCACTGGCTTCAGTGTTTGGACAGCATCCTGGTGCCTGGTACAAGAAGCAAGCCGTTCTCCAAAGTGCCAGTTAAAATGAAGGGTTGGGTGGGTAGCAGTGTTAGGTCAGGAATGGCGACTTGTTGTAATTACTCTTTACCTGCACCCCTAGCTATTTGTCAAAGATCAGGATCTACTTGTCCTTAAACTTAGCACTATGCAATCAGCTGTCAGTAGAGGTTTATTTTGGGGAACTTATTATGGCCTTTGGCACTTTGCCTTGGCAAGTTCTGTGGGTAATCATCTGGGGGGGTGTTCTCTCCTGAAAGAACTCCTGTACCATACAAAAAGGAAAATCCATAAGACCTTTATGTCCAGTTAACCTGCAAGAAAAAAAAAAGCCAGAAGTGGAGCTGTGGCTCAAGTGGTAGAGTGCCAGCCTTGAGTAAAAAAGCTAAGGGGCAGCCAGGACCAGTGGTCACACCTGTAATTCTAGCTACTCAGGAGGCTGAGGATCACAGTTCAAAGCCAACCTGGGCAGGAACGTTCATGAGGCTCTTATCTCCAATTAACCAGCAAAAAGCCAAAAGTAGAGCTGTGGTTCAAGTGGCAGAACACTAGCCTTGAGTGAAAAAGCTCAAGGACAGTGCCCAAACCCTGAGTTCAAGCCCCAGGACCATCACTAAAAAAAAGAAAAGAAGTTCAGAGTCCTACCAAAGGAGTCTATGTAAGGCAACACTGAGCAAACTCAAGCTATTTTATAAGTGAGTTCCTAGACCTGTCTGAATTAGAATTGATAATTCTAGATTTCATCTGTTTACAGTTTGGAGTACTTCATGCCTTAAACTGAGGAATCATTTTCAAAGCTGCTGCTCTGCAGCTCATACCGAAGAAGCTCGTACCTGACATGTGTTGCAGACACTTACTTCAGGGTGCTTTAATCTTGGAAAGTCTCCTGACTTCAGTATTTGTAGTCATTTTTCTAGCTAAGTTACATAGTGACATTAACGCCTTCTAACAAACCTGGGCTGGGCTATTTTTTTTCTGAATATTCTCTATATCGTCTGAACGACTTCAGTTTCCTACATGAATCTCGTTGTGCCCCCTCTCCTGACTTTCTAAGATTCTTTTCCTTTTGCCTCAGCGTCCCTCGGTGTAACTTTAAAGAATAACAGAAGTGCATTGCACATAGAAAGCTCAAGTCCCGGCAGGTAGCTAATGTGTCCCAACCACAGCTTCTGGGGTCTCAGAGTTGTCAGTGGTAAGGAAGTGGGCCAGAGGGTGGACCCTGGAAGTGAGGCCAGAACAGGCTAGCTGAAGTGCTCTGTAACGGTCAGCGTTCTGTAACGGTATAAAACGCCTAGGAATGTCAGTTTATAACGAGGCAAAGTATATTGTGGCTCATAGTGACTAAGAAGTTTTAGTCCATGGTCACGTGGCCCGGCTGCCTTTGTGCCTGTGGTAGGGAGCACAAAGGGAAGCAAAGCTGCTTAGCACAGGGTGGCCAGGAAGCAAAGCGGGGCAGAAGAGGGGCTGGGGTCCTGTGATCACCCAGTAACCAGATGACTGCCAGGAGCCCCACCCGCTTAGTGGTTCCGCGACCTCCCAAATGTTTATGGGCTCTAACACATAGACCTTTGGGGAACACTTGTGCAAACCATAGCTCCCCTAAAAATACTGATGTGTGAGGCTGTGAGCAAATTCAACAAGGTACCCAGAATCCTCCTTCCTTGTGTGGGATACTGCCACAGCCATGTCTCTGCCCGCTGGCCATCTGTGGACAGGCCAGCCTCAAGAGCTCTCCTAGTTCATGTCTGTTTCCCCACAGGCCCTTCGGACAGGCCCTTCGGCCTCTCCTGGACTCCATCCAGATTCAGCCTCCTGGAGGGAGCAGCGTGGGCAGACCCAATGGCCAGAGCTAACAGGATGGCAGCGAAGCACCCGCTCTCCAGGGCTTTTCCTTTTTAAACAAAACAAACCCTACCAGATTTCTATTTTATAACTTTACATCAGAGCTAACAACCAGGGGATGGCTTTTTAAATTTCCCAGGGAAGGAGATCATCAGGCTGCATGTAGGACAATGCTGCTAAGAAACAAAACAAAATGCCACCCCTTCTAATAGTATTATACTAATTTATTAAGGCTGTCTTGTCTGTGAGTTCACTTTTGACGCTGTTTCTTAAGCGTCCTCCACTGGAAAAAGGGAGGGGGTTTGTTTAAGCAGAAAGCAAGAGGCACCGTTTGGGAGAGCCCCAACCTAGAAGCTCTTCCCAGGGAACACCAACCCTCTGCCCAGGTCACCACACCTGCGGGACCCTGTGAATTGTACAGCACCCAGGACCTGGAAGCCGTTACTCTCTACTATTAAATGAACCAAAGGATTTGGTGCACACGGGACCAGTTACAGGCTCTCTAACCCCAACCTAAGTGAACTCCTTAGCCACACCTCTCTCATCTTCCCTCCCCTTCCACAAGCAAGGCCCTGGGGGCAGGGCTGGAGCAGGCCCAGCCTCAGGACCCAAGGAGAGGGACACCAAGGATCGGGCCAGAGAAACCAGGATAAAGCCATTCATCCCTCTTTCTACTGAGACTGATTGCCAATCCTTCGCCATTATGTTGGGAAAACCCACCTTGCTGCGTGCCCATGAGGCTGCTCTTCCTCCGCGTAGCTGGTCTGCCACGGGTGATGAAGGTCTGGGCTGGATGGCAGAGACCAGGCCTCCTGTCCACAAATAACAATACAGGTTATTTATCATCACTAGAACCAGCTGCACAGACCATTTATCTTACTCAGCTAAGCCCAAGGGATGTGTTTCTCCCTGATATGGGAAAGAACAATGATGCAGATTCCAGGTGACAAGAAAACTGAGAGTTGTTTCCTATAGGAATTCGTGTCATATGCCAACTACTGGGAGGGCACACCTGATCTCCGTTAGGCGTGGTTGGGCCACGAGGGAGTATTTTTCTAATAACTCACTGCTAGGGGTTCACAGACAGGGAGCAGTCAGGAAGTCTCTGATCATGAGAGGCCCTTCGATTCCTTTTTCATGCTCATCTCCCGTGTGTTTATTTTGCTGAGTTGAGTGTGGAGAAGGGACCCAGAGCTGCCAGTGCCTGAGTCTCAGCTCTGCCTTCCCAGGCCCTTCCTGCCATGGCTCCCTGATTCTTCTAAAGCTTGAGTTCAGTTGCTCCTTCCTGGGGCAGGGACCGTTCCTCCCCAAGAACCTGCTGCTCATCCTGGCCCCTTTCCTGCTGTCTTTGCCATCATCTGCAGTGGTTGACGTCATCAGGGTCTCAGCTGAAGGAAAGATGCCATTCTGCCTAAGTGCATGCCAGTGCCCAGGCCAGGGCAGGTCTAGATGGGAGGTCATGGGACATAAGATTGAAAGGTTTCATTCTCCTGAAGCCCTGCCAGCTTACTACTGGGTGGCAATGAGAAATGAAAGCTGAGGGCTGGGAAGGTGGCTTAGTGGTAAGAGAGCTTGCCTAGCATGCATGAAGCCCTGGGTTCGATTCCTCAGTACCACGTACACAGAAAAAGCCAGAAGTAGCACTGTGGCTCAAGTGGTAGAGTGCTAGCCTCGAGCAAAAGAAGCTCAGGGACAGTGCTCAGGCCCTGAGTTCAAGCCCCAGGACTAGCAAAAGAAAAGAAATGAAAGCTGAAACCAATGGAAATTGGTACTACTGAGACCCACTGGCACAACCAGAGCCAAGGAGAATGGATATCTTGGCTGGGTTTCCTCGGGGAGGGCACAGCTTGGTTCAGGCCACTGCCTTGCTTTCTGCTACTGCCATGGCCCAGCTTTCTCTGTCACAGTTCTCCTCCTGGCCCAGAGAATGCTGGGCTTCTCCCTCCTCTCCTCTCTCCAGGCTCAGCTGGTTTTGGCCCTGCCAGCAGCGACCCTCAACCCTAGGGCTACTGTGAGAAGTTTACCAGAGTGACTCCCCTCAGAGAATTTGAGTCACTTTATTCTTCATGCCCAGCAAGCCGTCCGTGCCAATGCCTGGGCCCTTGGGCTGATGGGGACATGAAGGTGTAGAGAAAGAGAGCAGTCTCCAGAGTTCTACAGAAAGGCAAGCTATCCTCCCCCACGCAAGGTGCCCAGGCCAGGACCCCCAACCCCATCCACACATTCCCTGTCTGTCCCAGAAGCTCAGGAGCATGCTTGTCGTGACCAGGCACTCCATGTGAGCCTGTGGAACCAAGCAGAGTGGGAAGCAAGGACTGCTTGTGTCACACAGTCGACATCTCTTCCCATTGGTTTAAAGGGACAGGGGAGGAGGAGGGACAACTGACTCTCCCCCAGAAGAAATAAAGCTTGAACCTTCAAGATCCTTTGATGTCCTTCAAGTCAAACTAATAATTGTGTGTAGTATGGAGGTCTTTGCTGGTTTCGGTTGGTGTTTTTTCTAATGCAATAAACTCATGTCTGCCTGCTGCACTGGTGTGGTACTTAAATCTCATCTAGAGGTGTTTCCAGCCTGGAGCAACCCAGGCTTCTCCATCTGTCTCCCTTTGGACTTTGCCTTGCTGCAGCTGATGATAGCAAGGAAGAATGCATGGTTTTCACAATTGGCCTGTAAACATGAGGAAGGGGGCGGGGCGCTGATGGCTCACGCCTGTCATCCCAGCTACTCAGGAAGCTGAGATCTGAGGATCACATTCAAAACCAGCACCAGCAGGAAAGTCTGTGAAACTCATCTCCAGTGAACCACCAGAAAACCAGAAGGAATGCTGTGACTCAAAGTGGTAGAGCAAAAAAACTCAAGGACAGTGCCCAGGCTCTGTGCTCAAGCCCCATGATAGACGAAAATAAGGAATATGAGGAAAGTCCCAGAGGACATTTTTTGCTCCAGCTAGCCTCCCAGTGGTAAGATGGCTTCGGATTCTAATGTCTTCTCCGGGAGGACCTTGGCCAGCAAGGGCTGCCTGACCTCAGGCCCAACTTAGTTGGGCCTGTAGTCCCATATCTCTCTCTATATACATTAGCCTCGCTAAATGGGGGGTGTTGCCTGCTACCTCATGTGCCAGCCATGCTGGGACTCCACGCACTTGTGGTGAGCACCTTCCTGGGGCTGACCTGGCTGATGCATTCAGACCCAACCGAGCAGACAGGACTGCTCCCATTATACATGGCCCAGAAGTTACCAGGATGTCGCTCTAGCCCTCACCTCTGCGGCCCCGTCATTGACACCCTGTGTGTTTCCAGTGTGCTGGCTTGGGGAGAGAACAACAGGTAAAGGCAGCGCCAGTGGCTCACGCCTGTAATCCTAGCTACTCAAGAGGCTGAGATCTGAGGATCGCGGTTCAAAGCCAGCCAGGGCAGGAAAGTCCATGAGACTCTTATCTCCAATAAACCACTAGAAAACTGGAAGTGGCTATGTGGCTCAAGTGTAGAGCACTCGCCTTGAGCTGAAGAGCACAAGGACAGTGCCCAAGCCCAGAGATCAAGCCCCACGACCGAACAAAAAAACAAAAACAGGTAAGCTGAGCAACAATGGCTCACACCTGTCATCCTAGCTAATCAGGAGGCTGAGATTTGAGGATTGCAATTTGAAGTCAGCCCAGACAGGAAGTCTGAGAGACACTTATCTCCCATGAACCAGTAAAAGGCCAGAAGTGGAGCTGTAGCCCAAGTGGTGGAGCACTAGCCTTGAGCCAAAAAGCTCAGGGACAGTATCCAGTCCCTATGTTCAAGCCCATTACTGGCACAAAAAAATAGCAAGAAAAAGGAGAGGTAGTGGCTCTTTCCAGAGGGAAAGAATAGGTGGCTTTGTCTGACATCTGATTCCTGAATGCTGGAACCAACCAGAGTCCCTGACTTGCACTGGTTACATAGCCTGAGCGTGAGTCACACTGCACCTCCCGCCTGTCCGTTTCATTTTGCCTCCCTATCTGCATAGTGAAGAGGCAGCACTACCTCAAAGGGTGGTTTCAAAAAATAAAGGTAAACATCTCTGCCAAACGCCAGCCTCTGCGCTGGGGACGCCTGAGAGCCAGCACCATGCAGAGACGCCAGGCCAGTCCTCTTAACAAGCAAAGGACCGCAGAGGGGCAGCCACCTGCTTATAGAGACGAGAGGGTGGGAAGTAGTTATTAGACTTGGTGGCTTGGCCGATGTGGCGTGAGTTCATGCAGCCCTGGGAATGGCTGTGAGAAGCAACCCTTGGGCTTCATGATTGGTAAGGCTCTGCCCAGTCAGGAGACAAGAGGATAGCATGTTCCAGGATCTCAGATGGTGACAGTGCCAGGGGAGAAATCCAGCCCAGTGGCCCATAGTGAGAGCCAGTGTTGGGAGGGCTTTCTGAGATGGATGTGAAATCTGAGCCTTGATGGAGGAGCCGGGGGACATGGGGACCTCAAGCACACGTTACACACGCTCTTCAGTGCCTGGCTTTGTTCTCAACATGCACCCCCAAAGGTGAGAAGGAGTCAGGGAGTAGCACTGGGAGAACATTCCAACAAAACCCCCAACGCCTGAGGGAGCTGTTAGACGGGAGTGTGTGAAGGAGGACTGCTGTGGATTGGGATGATGGTGTGGGAGGTTGGGTGCCAGGCTGGATAGGAACTAGAGCCTAAGGAGCTATGGCCTGAGAGGGTGGGCAGAGAGAGCCCCAGCAGAGGACAGGCACACCCAGGGACATGTTACCCCTTTTCCCAAAGCTCTGCAGCCATGCTGCAGTGAGAGGCATAGACACCAGGGGGCGCTGTGGAGCTGCATGTCCATGGCTCTGTCCACTTCCAAACTTGGTTCCTCAACCACTGCATGGCCACTCCAACCCATGGGATGACAGCCAAGATCCTTGCCCTCACAT